TATTTTATTTAATATTATTAATGTTTTCAATACAGTGTTCACAAACTTACAGGAAAAAACAAAATCAAGTCCCTAATCAACAAAATAGGCCCTCATTACCAAGTATGAAAGTATTGATTTTTATCACTTTTTTTAAAAAAAATTATATTTATTTTTAATTTTAGAAGAATTAAAATGAATAAGAACACAGTCTCAATAATAATTTTACGTGACTGTTAGGTACTCATGAGAGTTTGTAGCATGACTTGTTTCTTATTAATGTGTTCTAAAAAGTTAGATCTTTTAATAAATTCATGTACAATTTTTTTTAAAAGACTAGTAGTTTTTATGTATTTTCTGCTTGAAGTTCATGCATTTAAAAAAATATTATCAAAAACAGCTCCAAATTTTTTCTTTTATTTTCCACAAATGGAGCCAAGGACATGCAAATGGAGCAAATGGAGCAGGTTTTATTTTTGTTAAACTCTCTAAATTTTCCAAAATTGCATGTAATTCAGCCAATTACGTCTTGAGATACATAGGGTGGGTGGAATCTGCCCACCTCTAACCGTAACTAGACATGCAAAAGCTCTGTCGGACTAGGGTCCTATTGAACTGTTGTAACTTTCCACACACGTTATGATTAAAGTCTATTAGAGCTGACCCAAAAAGTGGTTAAGATTAGTACAGGTGGCGAGGAGATGCAATTTTGTAGGTACTGTAAAATATGATATTTGTGTAGATGAATGAGTAACTTGTAATGATTGGACTCAAACTGGTAAATGAGTCAGGAGTAAAATATAGTTGTACCTTTCCAGAAATCATTATGATGTTTTAATATTGGGAGATACTTTACATTAAACCTTTATGGCATTTGCAAAATTTTGTGAAAAATTGCTGCAATTCTTTATTTTTTCAAATAGAGGAAAGCAAAAAATCTCTGAAATTTTGAAAATTCAAAGGTTCAAATAAATTAAAATGCAAAAGTTCAAATATTTTTCGCACCTATCTTATTCATATCACGTAAAATTTCTCACTGTAAACATGTCTACACTTCTTCACCATACCAAACAATGACCCATTCATTTTAACAGTTTTTTAAACTATTCATGAATCTAATTATTTTTAATTTTCTAATTTTGATATAAAGGGGAGTCTTAATTTTCCTTGCACTTCAAGTTTTTTGTCTCTGAAATCATGAATTTAATTTTAATTGTATCATTGTTCACTTGCTGCTTTTTGGCATTTTTCAATTCACGTTTTCTATTTGTAATTTTGCCAACTATTTCTTAAATGTTTTAAACTTAGCCTAATGTTTATTGTAATTTAATTGTATTTTTTTCAATTGTTTTCAATTTTTTTAAGTTTTATCTGATGAAGTGGCCACAACAGGCCATAAAATGTTATGTGTATTTTAACGCTTCTTCACTGAATAGCTTTTCAATATTTCTTTGAAGTTTTATTTGTTGTCTTTAATTCTGAAGGAAACCTACTTTTCCAATATGAATTGTTTGCAAAGAAAATATTTTTAAACATATTTTGGTACATCATGACTAATTATTGAATAACCTATTATTTATTAAAGGCCCCCAAAATAGAAATGATTACTGTGGAGGATGATGTGATCCAGTTGGAAATCATAATTGGAGAACAGCAGGGAATATTTCTTCTCCAGTGTAATTCTTCTGCTGTGCCAAATTTAACAGCTCCAAATCTTACGCTCTCACTGGTGAATAGTAAAAACTTATCAGTTTCATCAGTAAGCCCAACAGGTAACAGAAAAACAAACTATTTCTAAAGATTAGTTTCATTACTTCTACAATGTTGTGAAAGTAATTTTCCCACTTGCTACTGTTTTAAAATAGTTTCACTAATTCTGAATATTTCTATACAATTTAGTAATTGCTATACCGGTAGTGTTAAAATGAAATATTTTACAATGCAATTTCATTTTAAAAATTACTATTGCAGCAATTATAATTTAACATTGTCCTAAGCTAATGTTTTTATTTCCTAATGAAATCAATTTCACTGCTCATTTAGTTCATATCTCACCGTTTAGTTTGTTTACATACATTTGACAACTACCTATCTAAATAAAATATATAAAAAAAGTAATTCTCTGTTTGAGTAGTTATAAACATTTTCTCACTTCACTAAACATGTCTCTCTAGTTTACACTATGGTAATGAAGAAAGAAAAAAATACTGTAGATAACACTTCCATTGGAGAGACATGGGGGAGGGACATCCATTTCAGATGAAAATTCAGGATGTACACGTAGGCTTCCGCGGCTTGAGTCCATTACAGCTAGGCTGTCCGGGTGACGCTGCATCGTTGGCAGATGGGCCGACGTTTCGCCTGTCATGTCGCAGGCTTCTTCAGGGTAGGGACGAGTTTGGTCACTACCCCGAAGAAGCCTGTGACATGACAGGCGAAACATTGGCCTATCTTTCAACAACGCGGCGTCACCCGGACAGCCTAGAAGTAATGAAAATTCAGGATGTTTTTCTCATTTGATCCAATCTGCATCCCATCTGTACTGAAGTTGGGTTGGGTATTTTTTTTCTGGTAGTGTTAGTGTTTTCTTTCTTCATTGGTAATTAATTTTATTCTTTGACATAAGTTGAAAAATCTTCCTTTTCTCAATAATGATTACCAATATTAAATTATTAATTCCATTGATTACAGTTGCCAGCATTGAAAAATCGTTTCAACCTGTTTTAACAGTCCCTAATGTAATGGGACATTCTAATGCACTGTGTTTTGTAAGAGCTGAAGGATCAGAATATACCAAAATTTTGCATCCAACATCTATTGAAGGAGCAAAAATTATATGCTCCAACTACACTGCAAAGCAAGCACATGTTTTGGAAATAGGAGCAGTGTTCACAGAAGATGCTGCTTTGGAAAAGTATATTTTTCACAATGAATCTTTCTTTTCCTGTAATTTCTTAACAGTATTTAATTTAATTGTATTTTTGTAGAAATATCACTGCTGCAACAGGGAAAGTTACAATAAAAGCACCAAAACCAATAATGAAAGAAGCTGTTCTCACAAATGATCTACAATATATACATGTTACTTTTGATCAAAATGTAGAAGGGCCAAAGGAATGTAGCAAAATTATGAGCTCATATTCAATAAGTTTACTTGGAAAAGGTAAGATAATTAAACTGGAAACAAGTAAATATTTCTTTAATATATAAGGAATATTTCTAAGTAACTAACTCATATTAAAATTAAAATTATTGATGTTGTGGTATTAGAAAAAACAATCTAGAGGATTGTTGTAAAAAAAATATTTCTCAAAACACTATTCATTTTTTTTATTTAATATGTTTCTGTATAACTTATGATAGGTATATTTTGTCTGAGAAGTAATTTGGATTTTGCATGTCTGCATTTGAAGACAATGCAATCTCAGCTGATGGGAAAACACAGTATTCTAGGCATGGCTGCCAAGGTTTTTGTTTACATATTTGATTTAATAATTTTTGTTTCATAAAAACGACAGTAAAAAACTGTATGTGGCGTATTGAGGGGAATACTGATCTGTGCATATTTTCTTATGCTCCAAAACCTTTACAACACATTGTCAGATGACATTAAACAATTGAAGTTGGTTCACAAATTAAAGTTAAATGTAACACCTTTTATGCTGCGTAACAGTTTCTATACAATTAGAGACTATACTGATTATATTTATATAAAAAAAAGGTCAATGACCCCATCTCAATCAGGTTTCCCTGATCCTTGTGGATGGCCCCGTGTTTTGCTTCTGGATGTAAATGTAGCTTCAATATGTGCACGTTTTGTTGAACTCTCCTTTTGCTTGTAACGGCAGGAGTAGAGGTAAGGGTGAATTACTATTTCGTTAGCAATGCAGAAAAATCATACTTGCAATTCGTTTACCGATGCAAATAACTTTTCTATAGCCCAGGAAGAAAAATGTCTATTTTTTCTAATATTGATAATCTTGGGCTTTTTTAAATTTATTTTCATTTATTTATTTTGAACTTTTACTCATCTTTCAACCATTTATAGTTAAAATGATGGGAAGGGATTATGGAACTGAGGAAAACGTGTGACAATGATCTTCTCCCCCATACATCACATACAGTTTTTACTATTTTTTTTGACGAAATAAATCTAAATCTAAATCTACTCACCCTTTTACTATACCTAGTTGAATGATGAATAAAAGTACCCAAAAGCACAGTCTGAAACATTTGAAAAATGGCACTTTTGCTTCCTAGTACTACTGAAGTAAATTCTTATTTGCACTGGTGAACAAACTGCAGATTTGATGTTAATTTTTATTGCTAACAAAACAGCAACCCACACTGTATGGCTGTACTGCAATTGCAATCAGCAAAAGGAGAGCTCAACAAAATGTGCTTAGTGAAGCTCCATTTAATCCCAAGAGCAAAGCAAGGAACCATCTCAGCATGTGTTCAATGCATCAGAGAAATTGTATGAAAAATTTGAGAGGGGACAGCATATTGCAGCCAGATTTTGCCCTGAAGAAGGTTGCAATATGATGACCAAGATGTTGGCCATGGCTATAACCTGTCATTTCCTGGACACAAAGATTTCATTAAAGATTATTATAAAATTGATTTAAAAAATAATCAAAATTTGGCTATATTTTATACATTTTTCAAAATGATGATATATTTCAAAGTTTGTAAATACAAAGACTGTTTGTCACTGGATTGACGACACATGTGATTCTTAAGGGATCTCGGTGTATAGACTAATAAATAGGTCTGGTAGTATTAAACTAAAGTTCTAAACTCTTTACTCTCTCACTGATTTTATTCTTTGAGATTTTATTATTCATTCTTCTTTATTATTTATTGCCCTATGTCTTATTAATATTTAAGATATGTGAATGTATGATTTCATTACATTTGAAATATCTTTTCTATGTCTTTGTCAAAGCCCAGAATAAATTTACCTGCAAATATTAGTCATAATACATTATTTTATATTATTTAATGATTCATTTTCAGAACCACAATGTTCATTCACTGCAAATCAGCTAATTATTAAACTTGGCCCAAATCCAGCTATAAATTCAAATACCCAGCTACAACTGGCCAAAGATTGCCAAATTTACCGAGCAAATTCTGATAATAAATTGTGCGTATCTGCTACTGGAGATATTCAGTTAAACACACCGACAATACAGGTTTGTGAAGCATTCTTGACTTTAAATATTATTTTCAAGCCAGAGAGATTCCTGGAAATACAAATAAAATTTTCCCGAAATATTAAAAATTCACTAATATACTTAGTTAATTAAAGTTAATTTCTAAACTTTCTAGAATGAATTCCTTAAAACACAAACATTTGTTTTATTATAATACTTGAAATTACATATTCTAAGGAGAATTCATAAAGAAATTACTTATTTAAAAATCATACTATTAAAATAAATTAAATTAAAAATATGAAGAGGTAATGTTTCTTTCACTGAAGAATTTGTAACAATTTTTTTTTAGGCAGCCAGACCCAGTTATCGTGTTTCAGCCCCCAGCATTGTATGCCATGAAGGAACAACAAAGGCTTCTAGTTCAGCAACAAGCAATTATGTACCATCTTTTGTTAGGTAAGGCAATGCATATTTCATTTTATTCATCAAAAGGGTTTTTAAAATAATTATTGGTCTCTTTCAAACATTATGCTTTCTTTCCATTTTTTCTAATTTATTTTGCTTTTGACTTTTGTGTTCTGTGGCAAGTTATAATGTTTTATTTCATAGATTGGTGCCTTCCAATGGACAAGATTTGCGATATAATTGGGAAGTGACTGTACCTAACATGTCACAAATCCCAAATAGGGGCCAAGCAGAAAATCTACGTGTTTGGCGCAATATCCGAGGCATGGCTAGAGAAATGAAAAAAATTACAGATCAAACATCTGGAAATCAATTTCCACTTAACAGTTCTCTGGTACTTTATAAAATTAAGTACAGTATATTATATGAATGCCAATCCGGTGGCCGAGATCGCTAAGGCAGTAGTGCCGTAGCAATCTCGTACCGAAAGAACGCGGGTTCGAGTCCCGCCTCGGGCATGGTTGTCTTGTGTTCGTCCTTTCACCCCCCCATCATCAACATCATCATCATCATCATCATCATCA